ATTTTGAAACTTAAAATCTGATTTATGAATTCTTCCCTAAAATTAAGTGCAAGTGCAAGTTAATGTTATAAATAAAGAATAATGCTAGTTAGCACCCGTGGTGCTACAATTTCAGTGTAGGTGATAGGCTCAATAAAAAATAAAATAAAATTATTCATTTAATTATACATCTCATTCAACGTCGCATTAATGTTACTTAAATTGGTGTTTTAATACTACTGAGACTAAATAACATTAATAATAAAATGTATCTTTATTTTCTTGAAAAATGGAACTTGTCTTTGTCCTCTATTGTTTTGTGACTTTTCAAGTTCGTAGAACGTTGATAGTTTTTTGTTGATGGCGATGGCTTTAATTTTACAAGGAATATTGTTTGCGGGGTACAAATAATTCTAATGAGAAATAAATAGAAAAGAATAAAAAGAAAGAAAAATGAAAAATGAAAAACAAATAAGTCAACTGTGAAGCGAATGATATTTAAAATTTTCTTCTCTCTTATTTATTTTAGAATTTAATTAAAAATAAATTTAAAACCAGCTATTCAATAGAAACTTAAAATATTGATTAATTTGTGAAAAGAAAGTTCACATGCGAGTGAGAAAAGGTTTAATGAATCCGTGAACAAATACAGATTATTCAATTGGGAATTGGGATTGAGGAAGAAAACAAAAATCTCTGCATATTTTTGTATTGGAGATTCAATCTTAGCCACTGTATGCGTCACGGGTCTAAACAAAGGCCCTACTTCATGCTATAATTATTTCAATTTTAAGAATAACGACAATTTCCCGTACGAATTTTCACTTATTCCCGTGACATGCCATTTCATGTCCGATATGCATGTCTCATAGCTAGTCTTAGATATTCGTTATAATATGTCGTTCTCTCATTGTATCATGTCTAAAATAATTGAAGTATATTTTATTTGTGGCGAGGAGATTGACGACAAGAGGCAAATCGTTAATGCCAAAACGTAACTCTTCTTGTGGGGTTGCAATCAAGAGATTGAGAAAGCGAAAAGTTCAAAAAAAAGAAAAAAAAAGGAAAGAAATGAGGGCTACAAGCCTACACGACGAGAGAGGGGACACCGACAGGGACAATTGCTACCCGTAGCAACAACTGAAATACGGCGTAGGGTTAAGTGGATACGATCGACTAGGATTAATAAAGTGTGTCCAAACTGTATAGCTAACTCAGTTTAATTCTGATTAATGAGAAAATGGATTTGAGTAAAGCATATTATTCCAATGATATAGCGAACAAGCATAAACAAACCAATTACGAGCACGACTGAATTCACAATAGCATGAACAAGATGATTTTGTTTTTCATTTTTATTTTACGAAAGTTACTTCGTGTCTTAAGGTGTCGAGCTAAGTCGAGCAATAAGTGCTAGCCTCAATCTTTTTTTCTTTTTGCTTGTGTTGATCCCATTTTGAGGGCCCACTGCCTTCGACTGGATTGTGGGAGTACAACTCACTTCTTCGAGCTGGAAATCCTTCGGATCAAAACAATCAACCATAGAACCCGATAGAGCACGAAGAATCCAATCAGAATATAGATGTTAATCCATCTTTGCATTTCATGGAGTCCCCTTTTTTCCAACACATCACTTCCAGTCACCATGCACGTTCTGTTCTTCTCATCGAACCATATCAAACACCTTGTCAACAGGCAAGAATACTCATTGATCAAGAACGCATCAAGAGCGTATTTGTACATGGAAAAGTAATGCATGAACAGCCAGAATTTGGGTAAGCTTTCTTTTGAAATGAAGTAGCCCGAGAAGAGGAAGAATCCGGCGAGAAGCGCCGTTACCAGTGAAGTTCCGGCGATGTAATTCGGGGCAATGGAGCTCAAGAAAAGAACAAATGAGTTAGCCATTAAGATTATGACCCAGATTACCAAAACAAAGTATGTAAATGCTTGAATTGTTGGGCAAAGTCCCACCAAGAAATAGACTGAAACTGAGTAAACAATTGCGATTGCGAGCAAGTAGGGTAAGAATACGAGGGTATTTGCTATAAGATATGATGATAATCTGTAAACCCCACTTGAAGTTTCTCTCAATAGAATTGGTCTTTCATTGATGAAAATTGGTAAGGTTTCAGTTGTGGAGGAGAGAAGAAACGTTAGAGTGAAAGCAAAGAGGCCAAATCTCTTC